TAAACAATTAAGGTTTTACTCAGATTCAGACAATCCAATAATATTTGATTAAATTTGTCTGCAAGGTAAATTGACGCACAGCTTAGAAAAACAATATATTGCCACACCTGGTTGCGTGGCTTTTTTGAGTTGTAGTTGTGTCATCGATCCGTTTAAATTCTATCATACAGCATGTGCGCTCTCATCCTAGCTTTCTATTAGTGATTATTAATCTATTAATAATAATTAATGTTATCTTATTGCAATAATCAGTTACAAATTAAATCAGCTGTTATATTCCAAAATACATAAAGATATTAGAAACAATATTTCGCATGGAGTAAGCATTTCTTTTCAAAATGTATTTCGTGTTGTTTCTCGATCTTTTAAACCTGTCTAAGTAAAGTTCATGAGTTTTTACACGATTTCTTTGATTTATCGGTGCAACTTCAAAAAGCTACAATTTAMAATCTTATCGAGCTCTTTTRTGCACTGACTACTTCCGTGCCGCTTGCCGCCAGATCACTAAAAATGATTTTCATATTTAACTGACAATGCRAGTAGATTTTTGTCATTAAWTGAAGACATGGAACTAAAGAAAACAAAAACGAAAGGTTATGGTTAATTGCAAGATGTAGTCGGCGAATGATTGATATTTTATCATTTAATATTTTGTTTTCTGTTGCAACAAATTCACACATAATTTGATATACATTGAGAAATCTGGAAATTCATTCAACCTTAGTCATAATATTTTCATGTATTAATTACTCCTTCGAATTTCAGAAAGGATTTCTAAAAGTTTGGAAACTCTATCGCGAATTTGAAAATCTCAACTATTTCGAAAAGCCTCATGTTTCAATTCTTAACAATCGAATGCACAACAGTCAACAATACATTATTTCATCCAACATTCATATTGCTTCGATAGAGAAAGATGCCTTGATGATCTTCGACCAATCAGATCGCGCAAATGATGCAATACTTATACTACCAATCAGCACCAAGAATTGCTTTCGTTCCATTTGAGAAACTGTCAATCAATTTTAACCAATAGAGATTCAGAATTTCTTAATGTGTTTATTAGAGCTACAAAACTCTGATAATTTGATTTAGCTCAGCGCCAAAGATTCTACATCATGGAAGTGACTAATAACAGTTTGTGTCAGTTTTTATTAACACTAGGAAAACGAAAAAGGGTTCTTAGTCAACTTTCTGTCATTGTTATCACTGTTTTTTTGTTTTTGTTTTTTTGTTTTTTTGTTTTTAGTCTTTTTATCAAAACATGGTCTATAAAACAGTCTTTACTAGTAATGCACTGAATTTTTTTGCGTGCTCTCAGACAGAAATATAGAAACGCCTTCCAAAAGTATATATTTATGCATCCCCTATGCTTTTAACCAAAAAGTTCGCCTGTAGCTCGCTGACAGGGCAAAAGATTACATTGAAGACATGCGCGCGATACATATCTATTTTAAGTCATCGGTTATAGATGTTTGTGGAATTGTCTGTGCTTATTTCACAATAAGCTACACCAAAATAAAATAACCTTGAACTTTTAATTGAGCAAAATGTTATTAATCCCTTAAAATCCCTGTCTAGTTCCACGGTTTGTACGTCACTTTATCTTTTTAATATTATACTAACTGGATTAGAACCTCCAACGCAATCCATATTAAACTTAATATAAAGCTATAGCTATCTTAATTAACTTTGTTTCGCTATAATTATAATAAAGAGCTATAGATGCATAAAAYCTAAAAACTAAGGCTAGTTAAACAAGGACCAAAGGACTGCTTCATTCATTATGAATAAATCCTTTGGTCATCTTTCATTTGCACTTTACCAAGTTTAAAAAGTGTAATGTAAGATCTAATATCTGTCAGTCTTCCATTAGGGTGTACTTAGAGTGTGACAATATTTTCTTGGCATTATAATAAATGTAGAACGAAGTAAATGAACGCCTGAAACCTTCTGATCTATAATGTCATATCGTAATATTGTGAATCCGTCCAACTTCGTTCAGTGGTGATAACGTTATTTAACAAGTATTTACAGAGCAAGATTAAAGCTTGTGGTGAATAAACAAGCATAATAATAGACCATGAGATTAAATGCATTGCAATAAWCGGTGCCAGGCTCCACACGATATATACACCTTTCTTTTTGACCTTTTTAGAGCGCGCGAATATCGCTATCGTCACTGACAGTATGATCATGCTGCAAATGACTTTGAGATAGATCATAATAAACCACCATAAAGAACCACCCGAAATTAAAGAAAATAAAAGATGGAATAAAAAAAATAAGAAAAGGTGAAACGAGATTTAAAGAATGGTTAGAATAAAACACAGAACATGAAATATATAAATTATAACATGGTGTGAAATACTAAAAATACAATCTTTCACTAACCAGGTTTTTTTCGGAATAGCAATCAAAAGTATAATTGTCGTTATTTTTATAGTCCATCCGACTAAGCTTTTGGGCCACCACACTGCAGTCCTTAGTGAATATAACTCCCAAGAGAAGYGAATAAGACAAAATACCGAAAATACATCAATATTATTGTCATTTAAGACTTTTTTGAAAGGTAATCAATCAAACAAAACAATTCAAGAAAACTTCAAATCTCTAGACAAGCGTTCTCATCTTAAAATGTTTGGCAATTTTGCTCAAAATAAACTAATTACGTTCTAAGAGATCAGTTATTCTTGTTGCTAAATGGATATTTGTTTTTGTAGAAGAGGTGAAAGATAACATGAGTACAGCGAATAACCGATGATGAGTTTTTAAGAGATGTAATGTTGAGAGAGTGGGTTATTCTACAGTTAGATATATTGCTGTGGCAAGTCACGAAACTTCTAGAATATAAACTGAGAGTGAATAATTAAAAGTCTAAAATATACATTGATTCATTTTGAAAGCAATACCCAATCAGATAAACTAGAAATTGTAGAAAATATGTCGGAAATCTGAAATGAAAACCGTCAGTGAAATGTAAAGAAACAAAGGAGTGCACAATTTTGAAAACCGCGATATCAAAAAAAATGTATTTATTACTAGTATCTACAGTTCTTAACCCATATAATTGTTAACAGTACACCAGAAACCGATACAACATTTAAAATAAATCTATTGCAAATGGTAGTGAAGGCTTGCATTAAATCAAAAGTGTAGAAATCTGAAACTCGCGATCAAAAATCGTAAACAATGAAAACATAACATAAAGAGCAATATAGCGAATTTAGCTGATCCCCCCTTCCCCAATTGTGAACAGCATTTAGGAATACGTGCGTATAGTATCAATCGACATCGAGCAGGGGGGGGGAGTAGTCGAGAAACTTATCATCATAAAATGTTAATTTTGACATGTTATTCTCAGTTTTTTCCCTTTTTTTCTATAGCTGTAWCTAGGTTTTATGCAGTGAAATGCCATGACATTGGCTTTTAAGGTTTTCGTCTTATGTCCATTTTAAACGGATTATAACCAAACTGAGAGCAAACTGGGCGATTATTTTATGATTTTATCTGCCCTAAGAACCACAATAATTAAATCTTTCCTAAATACCTTTATTACGAGACGAATATATAGCGTGTCCTTCGTAAAGTATTTTCAAACGTATCGAAATAGCTCATAAAAGAACACTGAATTKACAACAAAAAWTTTCGAAGGAAGTAGGGATTTTTTTTCGGTCAAAAGTATCTTCGCGGAAACGTAGGAATACAGGAATATAGGAATACGATATTTTTGTTAATATTCAAAGTACAAGTGGGAAAAATGAGAGTTCCGGAGTCATTGATCTTCTACTGCCTTAAGAAAAGCCACGTACTATTTATAATCACTCAAAAAAACACGCGATCGCAACCTCAATTCACAGAATTTTTCCTCCCTAAAAATCCTTTCATAAAGTCAAATATACTTTACTAAAATTTAGCAATAGAATATCAGTTCTTTTATGACGCAAGTAGCTGAGATAAATTTATAATCAGAGAAGAGGGTGGTGTTTTTTTTTTTCCTTAGGAAGGTGAATTGATATGGACTCGGCTAGTGATATAAGGACAGCTTATCAGCACAAATAATATTGCAAAATATCGACGCTTGGTGATCTTTTGTGCTCTATTTCAACATCAACAGTACATATCCAAATGCAAGAGATATCTGTAAAATATATATAATATTTTTGCGATTTTTTCGTATATTTCGAAACAATTTTAAGATAAAATCAAATCAAATCCATCGTTGTAGTGCAAGTATCTCATAGCCAACCTTGTTTTCTGTTTTCGTTTTTCTTTTCTCTTTTCTGTAGAATTTTTCACATTGAATCTTCATAGAGTGATATTAAAAAAGAAATAAAGAAAATTAACTTTTAAAGTGTAAAAACTCATAATTTTTATGTCCTTTTCAATCTTTTCGTATACTGATTTTCTCTGGATGTGATATTTCGCCTGTCAACAGTACAATATAGGATCGAGGGAATGTTGTTCGTCGCTTCGACTTTCATCGTGTTTATTTGCTTATAATGACATTAATATCTAATTTGAGGGATTTTTGGGCTTAAAATCTGAACCAAAATCTCACAGTTTTATTAGGATTTGATTTACCATTGCATAGTAAACAATTAACTTGTGGCGAGATTCGTTCAACCTCTTTCCAAATGTATCGTTAGCTTCACGAATAGAAATACTCGTTCACAATCTTGTTTGTTTTTCCATTTGTTTAAAGATTCAATGTTTTTCAAATTGTTTGTGCGATATAGGCTGCTGACGCACAATGAAGTCAAACTCTAAAAAGTAAATGAGCGAGCATTGCAACACTTTTCCTGCGCTATAAAAAATACAACTTCTGATCATAAATTCATATGATATCGGATAAAACGCTGCAGGGAATTGCTAAACAGCATTAAATGTGATCCGTACCTTGCAAAGACGACAATGCGAGATATCAAACAGGGCTTTCTTTCATGATTTTGGGGCTTACAGTTATTTGATCAGATGTGATTAATCTTGTGTTGACTTACCGAAACAAGTTTTTTTGCTATTTCCCTTGTTTTTTAGCTGTGTCCTGTGGARGTTCGCGTTGTCTGCAAGAAAAAGGCGGGTTATAATCGCTGATTGCTATAGAAAGGTATAGCGCGATTTGATCATGGATCCTGACAGGATTAYGTCGATAGGATCTTAATTGACAATAACTTCTGACAGGAAAAGCAAACTCTGTAAATGCAGTAGGAATTGGCTCCTATCGAAGATCAAGTCTCCACCCACCGCCTTCGTCTATCAATTTTGTCTCAATGTTTACAGTCTCTTCAAATTGCATGTCATTGTCAAACTCAAATGCATTAATAGCAATAGACAATTTACTCCGATATCTTAAGACCAAAACTTTTACTTTTATAACTAAAAGATGATTAAAATGTTATAGGGAGACTCCCTTCATCTATTTAATAGATAAATAATACATGATAATACATAATCATAGTTAAAACTATGATTTCTTTATTTGGTAAACCATTGACCTTTTGGGMCGACAACATAGCTTCAATGTACTGTAGTTTAAAGTCATGTGATTTGTCAAGTGTATTTCCTACTTTCTTGGTCTAAAGATCAATGTTTTGCACTTATTTCAAAAAGAAAGTGAATATCCAAGAACAAACAAGGGAACTTAAGCTGCAACGAGTATCTAAATACCACCCATTTTAATGCAATTTCGTCTCAAGAGATTTTGAAAGCACATTTCTATAATAAACAAAGCACTCGACCAGGCTCTCAAAAGTCGCCATTTTATGATGGAGTAATGGAAAATAATCCTCACTTATTTTTCTTGAATTTTAGGTATTTTTAGTAAATACTAATGTTTAAAGAAAACGAAGCAAGGGTGTTATAAAGTAAGTAAACTAAACCAAAAATATTGAATAGAATATAAGAAATATTTATTTTTTCCAGTTTCATTTTTCCAAGAGTTTTTTCCTCGGAATGTTCTCTTTCTCAGCACTCTAACTTAAAGACCAACTTGCGATCGTTTATTTTGTTTCAAAAATGATCTGTTGTTGAAACCTGCTTTCTGATTGGTTCAAATCAAACATGGCGATTTTTCGTATGCGAGCWAGCGCGCAAAGGCTCCTGGACGTACGTGGAACTTTCTTTATGGCATATCTTTCCTAGAGTTCACTGATATGGCCAAGTCATGACAGGCTACCTGTCCCATCAAGTGTCTGTTGGGTCACATGATCTGCCTTTGCAGAAAGGTCCCGATGAAATACTGATATTTGATTGATAATCAATGCTCTGTGTCAGATATGAAGCACTGCTGTTTATAAAACTAAAATTATTGACTGATCATTATAGCCGTTGTGGGGACCTTTTTAAACATCTTTAAAACTCTGACAACGAAATGAACTTAAACTCTTAACGTTCTCGAAGAAATGGCTGTGAATTTGAGTTTTTAGAAAATGCGACATCTGATCATGCGCACTGCAATCACCACGGAAAAGCACGCTTGTTACCCACATCGAATACGCATGAATACAGTTCTAAAGCTCATGGACTAAAATCTTGCCTTGGCTGGTGCTCAAGTATTAAAACTGTTACATTTTGAGTCATTTATCTTTATATAAGTTAATCAACCTTTTTCAATGTTGATTTGGTAAACCACACGGTAGATCGGTCTTAGACTGGAATTGTGGGGTCCTGAATTTACAATGCACTAGACCTCAATTCTTTCATTTTAGCAAAGCTAAAGTAAGCAATTTTTAAGATTCAATAGACAAACATGTGTGACARAAGCACTGCTAGATTAAATACCTCACATAACTCTATTGCAGACAGATATTAGATGTTCATTATCAGTAAAATATTCATTCGTCTTAGAAAAATAAAATTCGCCATCATTGATACGTCTGGAAGATAGATCTGTTGGTCTCCTGACCGCCGGGAGGGGCGTGATCTTAAACCAGATTAGAAGCTACTTATACAATAAACACGGCTTAAATATCCTGATCTTGTAAAATAATATAAGGATTTAACTGTAGATTTGACACCATGGGCAAACTAAAACCCAATCTGCTTACACCGWATTTGGTAAATAAAAAAAACTAGTCTAAAACCTGATTAAAAACAGGTTTGTTTCTCTAGAACTTTTAAAGTTGTTGTAAAATAAAGATAAACAATATAAGGTTGCTTATTGAGTTAGTTTAATTACAAACATGGAAAAGATATGCTTATTTTCAAAATGTGTATAGGAAAAACTACGTTTCCTTTTGCCCTGATGATGGACAAGTTGTCCGAAAGCTCGGAATATTAAAACACACGTAGAAGGAACAAAACTGAATATTTAAAACTACGTTTGTTCACAAGCAGAATCTTTATCTCTGCCAACTGACATACATCCATGTATCATTGCACTTTCTATGAATCATATCGCTACATATAAGTCAGCGTCATATCGGCAGTCCATATCCATTTAATTAATACTACAACACACGTATTATAGAACTATATTAACCTTAAAAGGTTCAAAGTAGAAACTATTGAACCCTCAACACTCAGCCAATCAGAAAGCGAGGAWATATCCTCTGTTTTCTCTTGCCTAAAAGCTTATTCTATTTTTACTGTGGTCAATACTAAGTGGATGTGTTCTTAACCTGATCGCTAAACCACGTATAAGTGGCTAAGAACCCCTTTGACTTAAATGCGGAAAAGCTTCGGTTAAAACGCTATATATCACATTAGTGAATTGGTAATAAATGTTGTTGTTGTTATTTAAAAGGAAAATATGATAAACAAGTGTTTTTTTAGTTTTTCTAAGCACGTTTTCCTTGCTTGGAAATTTTTCCGTTTTTGAGGACTGTAAATGCTCGAGAATATAATTCACTTCTAACTCCAAAAATTTGTTTCATATGAGGTGAAGCATGCAAGAGGYGAAGAAGGTATCTGCTTTCTCTTCATTTTCAGTTAGTGAACACCAACAATGTCTTGGTWAGTATGCTACCGAATTGAGCTATGCTTTCACAGGTAAAATCAAAACTCCGAAGTTTACCGAACTGCTTGTTCCAACTTTCCTCCGTCAAAACCGAACGAAGTGCAAATGTATTTTTGGTAATTTTCTGGACAGGAAGGGGTGGCGAACATTGAGACTAGATGAAATGGCGGTTAGGGATCGACAGAGAATTCACAAATAACTRCGAAAATGGCAGCATCTTGTTGGTAATATCAACAATAGCTCCAATAATTATCAGTGCGGTGTTTTGGCGCACGTATATATAAAGCATACAGCTGTTTAAAAAACGTTGAAAACTGAAGTGTAATACTGTATATAGAAATACGGAAATGCATTGTTGTTAGGAGTATCGCCCCAAGGKGGTTTCGGAGTGCTATAATACATGTATAGCTAATGAAAGACATTCGATGGAAGGCAATTTAGTTTTCAATTGTCATTTTGAAGTGTCTCTTACATCTTACAAGTAACGCTTCTACAGTGCAAAAAATGCATTTCGGGGAATACACTGCGCAGAATGCACTGCTAACGTTTTTGTTTGTTTGTTTGTTTGTTGTTGTTGTTTTTTTTTTGTTTTTTTTTTTGAAATAGCATACGTACAGTGCGTGGTATTCAAACTTCAGTAATCGGCGAAAAAAAGCAAACTATCCATCAATTCGTAGTTATTTTGACTTAAAAAGAATTATAATTCTTCCGCATTTGCGTTCTAATTGTTTGTAAGACGTGTTCTTATCGTGTCTGGCATCGCCATGATTACACATCAAACCTCGTTGACTACTCCCCCCGGGCCATTCCGTCCGACTGAAAAGCTTTTAAATGACTTTGAATGRCAAATATCACAGGATATGGATGTCCTAAAGACGTCCTTACAAAGATTAATGACCTTAGAGACAGTTTAAAACATAAAAAAATATCTCTTTGCGAACAACTGATGATTTTTACATGTAGATAATGTACTGTGTTTAATCGTAACTAAGCATTTCATACAATATAGCAATGGTTACATATGACGTTATAATGTCGTAATTAAGATTGTCATTTCCCGGATGACGTCATGACCGTACGAGCGAACWGCATCATTGTTCCCTATTGCTAAAACCGCCAAAATGGCGGATATCTTTTGATACTAGAGGAAGACGTTTCAATGCCGAAAGATAAACCTTTTCCGTTGATTATTTGGTAAGAACATTTAGTATAATGGATGGAATACAAGTACGATTGAGCTACACCTCGGATACTTGTTGAATKKTTCGCAAAACATCCCGACACATAACAAAATGATTTCAGTTTTCAATTTACCATTCCATAATTATTTCGTCGATCATCGCATGACGTCATTATCTTATTAAGCTAGACAAATGCCTAACTTCTGAACGTGTCCACAAAATAATTRAAAAGATGCTTAACACTCAGAGATWARGAAAGACACAATGWACGTTATTTTGCAAGAGCGTTCTGTGGCAGCATGACAAAAAGAAAAAAAAAATTGAGTCATTCGAATGCATGAATGATTAACTCGGTCCATATAATCCCCCCCCCCTCCCCCCCCTCTATGATGAAAAATATTTTTTGAAAGTGAAGCATTGCAATAGTCAACATTGCAAAAACAACACCAAAAAATTTTCCTTAACAAAAAAAAAACAAACGCCAATGGCTTGTGTAAGAACAATGTAAGAACTGTTTCTTTCTTGCAGGAAATATACAGTAAAATTTACCTTCAATCGATTTCGCAAAAAATTTCTTTGATCCTCTATTATACTGAAGCAAACGTGCCATAAGCCATGACTCATGCCTTTTGTGTGACAACAAAATACTATACCGCCACCAAAAGAGCAATTTATATTTTTATGACTTCGGCTGAAAGAAAAGATATTATTTGCACCCATTTGCATCGTTCAGTAATTTAACATTGCAATATGTTCGGAAAGATTAAAGGATAATGACATAATATTTACAAAAACAAGTTAAAAGATTTACGGAAAGTCAAAGGTATGATTTCCCTTGAATGCAGTTTACACAATGCAAGGGKCACGTTTCTTATTGAGTTTTAATTCRTGTTTTTCCAGGATGTTTTTATCGTATGGTCCATG